TTTTCCCCCCCCCCCCCCCATTAGAATTTAAAAATGAGACAAATGTATTTAGTCCTAAAATTTTAAGAGAAATTCAGTGTTTGTGTCCTGAAGTATTTTTAAATAGAAAGTGAAGTAAGTGAAAGGGTTTCATGGTTTCACTTAATGTCCAACCAGATATTTCATTTGTAACAAACCAGAAAAAAACATTATGGAATCTCTTAACTTGAAAATTGAGGTAAGTACTCATTATTTAAACTGCAAACTCTCTCCCTTTTTAAAAAAAACAAAAAACAAAAAACTTGATTGAATAGAACCTTATGCTAGCTCATCTGCCTGGAACTTCAAATATCCTTTGAGAGAATTTAAACTCTTCTGTTAGAAGCCAGAATGTTTCTGAAATAACTCAAAGTAATTTTAAGTTTCTTCCCAGAAAAATATTCTAAGTAAATTAATACTTGGGGCTTTTTTTTAGGGGCATACTAAATTTACCTGGCATAAAATTTTAAGTGGTATAGTCACTTTGTGTAACTCCAGTTGATAGAGTGAGACTCGCAAGTGAGGGGTGGGCAAAAGTGGCCTGTAGGTGTTTGTCCGGCCTGCGGGGCTGGTCCCTTGGTCCCATGGCCCAGCACAATCCAGCCATGGCATGTCCTTCTGCCCCCGGGCATGCAGCAGGACTGGGGTGGCTCCGCAGCTGGACTGCCTTTTCTAGGCAGTCCAGGTGGCAGGCATCTTCTTCCGGCTGTCACTACCACTAGTCCCAGCCCTGTGATAGCAACGGAGACCCGTGCTGCACAGCCCTAACCCTGCACACCCTGACCCTGCTCTGGGTTTGCCTGCCCAGGCGCAGCAGTGGCAGCGCTGGACAAAAGCTGTTGCTCAGCACCGGGTAAAAGCAGCCCCTCTCACTCCGGCTGCCAGCAGCTGCCCATAGCCCATGCAGGGCTGCCCTGTGTATACTCTTCACTGCCACCACAGTCCCATGGAGCAGCCTGGAGGTGGCAGTGGTGGTGGCATAGATGCAGGGGCAACCCTGTGCAGGCTCTGGGTGGCTGCAGTAGGGAACTGCTGGGAGTGGGATGGGCTGCTTTCTCCCCATGCTGCACAGTCCTGACCCTGCATGCTACCTGCCTGCTTTGGGCTCATCTACACAGCCTCAGCAGCAGTAGTGTTGGACAAAAGCTGCTGCTTAGTGTGGGAGATGGGGAGAGAAAGCAGCGCTTCCCATCCCTCTGTTGGCAGCTCCCTGCTATAGCCTTCTGGAGCCCAAACAGGGCTGCCCTGTGTCTCTGCCATTACTGCTGCCTCATGGGGAAGCAGTGGTAGCACAGTCCTGCTGTAGAGCTGCCCTAGCTGCACTGTATGCCCAGGGGGGTGGCAGGACATGTCACAGCTGGGTGGTGTGGGGCAAGCTGGGTCAGAGCTGTGTCTGGGTTCTAGCTGATCTGCTCCACAGAGGTGATGGGAGTGGGCATAGGGCACGTGGGGGCTGTGTGCTGCTAGGAGTGGCAGGGAGGCTCTGCACAGTGCGTGGGCTCCACGCTGTTGCAGGGTGGGGACTGACCAGCTCGGGGGAGTGGGCATAGGGGGCTCCCATGCACACCCTGCCATAACCACACCCTCCCTCAGACAGTCATGCACCTGCATACCTCTGGGGGGAACTCCACTCTCTGCTACATACACACAACCACTCTCCCCCTCCATACACTCTCATATCCCCACAAACACCACCCCCATCCACATCCATACATCCCTGCACCCCTTCACACTCCCTTACAACGTACAAGAGTAAGACCTCATTTTGAGCTATTGTGCAATCCACCTCTATATACAAACACACAAATGGGGAGAAAAATATTAAAAATACTTCATTGTCAGTTTGTTTTTTTTAGTGTACATTTTTTTTCTAGTTCCAAGATGGCAAACCCCTTCCCAAAAGGAGTATTTCTAGGGGCAAGGGGAAGGACTTCTGGTGGCAAAGGTCAGGGGTTAGGGGGCAAGGCTTCTGGTCCCAAGATGGTAATGGGGGGGGGCAGTGCACCTGCAAAGGGGTGGGGTGTGGCCCTTGACAGCTCACCAAAACTCATTAAGCATCTCTCCAATGGAAATAATTGCCCCCCTTCTCCAAGTACTGAAGTTCTCTTTGAAAAATGGAACATTTAAGTCCTGTAGGAAGAGTTAAAGTTTTCTTTAGTTGGGTTTGCTTGGGTTTGGATTTTTTTGTTTCGTTTCTTTATTTTGATTGGTGGTTTGGGGTTTTTTTTTTTATACACTTCAAAGCAGTGGTTGGCAAACTCTTCCGGGTTGCAGCCTAGAATGACCTAGCTCAGGTCAAGAGGCATGTGCTTGCTGGGACCCAGCCAGTCATTGCCACTGAAGCCCAACCAGTTCAGTAGGTTGGATCATGTGTCTCCAGGGCTGAATCCAGTCTTCAGTCCATTGGCTGTTGACCCTTGCTCTAGCAAGATTAAAGTTCATTACCTAATATCTGTGTTGTTGTTGTAGTCATACCCTTATGGCTCACCACCACTATTGATACAGCAGCAGGTTCCTGTAGGATACCAGCCAACTTACAACTATCAGGTACTTTTTATCTTTCTAAATGGTCTTGGTAAAGTAATAGATGAATCTAAATGTTGGACCCAAACTTGCCTAAATCTTGCTACAGTTCAAGCTTTTTGTTTGTTTTTTGTTTAGATATTTTGTTTTAAAAACAGCTGCAAATTTGGTAATATTCATCTGTTCAGAAATCCTTCTCGTAGTTGTTATATAATTGTTCAGAAACTGTTTTGCTGGCAAACAACTGAAAACACTTAATGTTCTGATGGCAGAGGGCAGCTGCTTTTAAGAACAGTGATCTAATACCAGAAATTGGTGGGTAACCTTAATAACTGCCCAGAATAGGAGCTGCAGTGTGCCCAGGATGAGAAATCACTGGTGTGTGGCTAGGATTTTGGCATCTTGCTGCTTTTTAGGCAAAAAGCTGCTTCTGTTAAGGCCTATATTTACTGGGGTTTTTTTAAAAGTATATTACTACTTCAGTAAAATCTAACTTGGTGAAGGCTTTTTAAAGAAAGTGACCCTAGTGAACCCTATTCAAGCCATGTTGTAGACCTACCCCACCCCAACCTACGACTGCCAAAGGTGCCCCATGTCACCACCTGCTCCTAGACCCACACTACTGTCCAACACCAAACCCACTACTGCTGGCCCTGTGGATGCAGCCCAGGAGGAGTACCTGCAGTCTGAATATGGCTTGGGGTGAGTTTGACAGTTCTAGTGAATACATGCTAAATAGCTTGGTTAGGTTAGGTGAAGATGGGCTTTGTGTTGGACTATTGGAAATTGCCTGAAAAACTTCAGATACTAACCACTGTTTAGTGATGTTGGAGTGTACTTGGTATCATTAGTGTTTGTTTAGACACAAACTTGAACTATAATTTAATTTCTAAAATGTCTAGTTCAGATGATTTAAACTGGGTTGCAGAGCTTTTCTCCCACAGCATAGATACCTCCATGATCTAGTCTATGAATAGAGGGGAGCATATAGACTTGTCAGAATATAATTAGGCCTTTTAATATTGTACTGGTAGACCTTCTAAAATTGAAAACTCTCTCTGTACACTGGGGGGGTCGGCAGTGTGTTTGGACAGAGTGCCAAGAATGCTGGCAGCCTTGACTTGTAAGATGTTGGGGTGCCAGGGCAGGTGGTGGGGGAGTTGAGGGGCAGCACAGGCCAGGGCACTTCTGCACCATCTGCCCCAAGGCACACGTTAAACATAATGTCTTTTCATTCCACATTGGCAACTGTGCTGGGGGTTGCCTACCCCTACTATACACCATTTTACCTCTAAAACAGTCTTCTTGCAGCAATCCTGTTTGGTGAAAACCAAGAAACAATGTTATGTTCTCCTTGCATCTCATTCCACAGAGAAAGCGATATGATGAGCTAACAAATTCTTTACAACTTGGAATCTGACTTACTTAAAAAAACAAACTAATTGTAAATTTTTCAATATTTGGCTTCATTTGGGCTCATCTTATGGTTTTGGAGCCTTCTGTTGCCCATGTAGAATAAAGTCAACTTAGAAAATTGTACTGCTTATTCATAGAACCAAATAAAACATTTGGTCACAATCTTCTGGCATCAGCCACATAGTATCATTAAATAAATCAATGCCTCCTTTCAGAAAATGGGCCAACTCAACTATAACTGAAGTAGCCTCTTCAGTTAGTTCTGAAAACACTGCTGCCCCTGGCAGATTTCAGGTTCCCTATCCCCAAACCTGGTTTAGATGAAGTTAAATCTTTACAAATTCATAGCGTCTGCCAGGTAATCCCCAAAGTGGGGTACTCAAACTGATGTTTAGGGTATGCCTTTTGAGGCTCAAGGTAGCAGCATCATGCTGTAACATGTCTCAGCTACTAAATTTATTAGTTTTCTAAGAAGATGGCAGTGTGTGTATCTCAAGTTGGTGTGGTACTGTGCATATCATGAAAAGATTGCTTGCTAGTATATTCTAAGCTAGTGTGTGTGAGGTACGTAATGAAAGTAGGATTTTAAAACAAATTTATACAGTAAAAATGGTTCCTATCAAAGTAATTCTCTTATAGGAAAAAGATGATTTAAGACTAATTCTAAATGCATTTATTTAAGGTTCAACCACAATGGCCTCATGGGGAGCAAAGAAATTATGTTATACCTCCGGTAAGGTGATGGTGTTTAACATACAAAACTTCAACTTCCTTCTGTGACATTTTGCCAGTTTGACACTTGTAATCAAAATCAAACTTCGCTTTATAAGTGGGTCAGTAAGAAAGTTGGTGCATTTATGGGTATTGGTGCATTGGGCTGAGTCACTGAGACAATTGGTAACTAATGGGATTATGTACTTGCAAGCTTCCTGTCCTAATAAAACTTAATTAATGCAAAGATTGCTTGGCAGAACAAAAAATTCTTCCCATTCATTTGTTTTAATTAAAACACAGGGAATGTGTGAGGGTTCTTAATACCTCACTTGGGCTACCACTCAATGGAGGTGAGGGAACTGGTGAGTGCAGCCAAATTTCATAATAACTTTCTTCTTTGAGATGTATAGAAGAAGAGCTTTGCCTAGTGACAGATTCATCTTTGAAAGGACATATAACATATGGGGAGGGAGGGAAATTGTACAATTGTTACCGACTTCTGCTTGAACAAAATAAACTGTAGATCTTCATTCAAATCATGAAAATAATTGGTAGATGAGTAACCTCAAAGGAATGAGACACTTTCTCAATTTTTTGTGTAAAATAAGACGGGAGAGAATCCTTTATACCTTTTCTCTTTATAGAGACTTGACAGTTTTGCTCCAGTGTCATAATTTTAATCCCAGTCATTGTATAATCCATGGAGGTACTGTCTCTCCACTAGAATCCTCAAGGTTTTGACACATTTACCACATTTACATAAATAGAAGATGTTTTCCTGCCTCCCCCATCAGCGGGGGGCGGGGCGGGGAACTCCACATTTTACATTTGTATGCAAGAAGCCTTTGCAAAATAAATTGCCTTATCTTTGAATTGCTGCTAAAAGCAGCATGTGCTCAGTAATGGGAACCAAGTATGAATTTGCTTAAATGCAGCCAATACTGAACATAACTAATAAAATAACATGGCCCATATTGGTCAAACATGCTAATGAGAACCTACCAGAAGGTTGGGTTTTTTGGTGGGTCTTTTTTTTGGGGGGGGGGAGGGGAAGGTGG